CATAAACACATGCCTATGATATACACATAAATACATGCCTATGATATAAACATAAACACATGCCTATGATATAAACATAAACACATGCCTATGATATACACATAAACACATGCCTATGATATACACATAAACACATGCCTATCATATAAACATAAACACATGCCTATGATATAAACATAAACACATGCCTATGATAAACATAAACACATGCCTATGATATAAACATAAACACATAAACACATGCCTATGATATAAACATAAACACATGCCTATGATATAAACATAAACACATAAACACATGCCTATGATATAAACATAAACACATAAACACATGCCTATGATATAAACATAAACACATAAACACATGCTTATGTAATCCCCAAAGAAAAATGCAAGCTGATTCACCTTTCATTTATTTCCAACAATCCCCTGAACTGTTACTATACATCATTCCTATACACATAAATGTCATGAGCACACACTGACAAATGTGCCAAACATCAGCAAGTGTCATTTCCCATACTCAAGTCTTCATTCACCCTACTTTAAATATTTTCAGGGTTATCCTATAATCTGAGACATTCTGTAGTCGGAGTAATTTGAATATTTAATGGAATGTTTTGAAAAATGTTATTGGAAGAGTCTGGAATCAATAATTCATTCACAAATCTACAGCCTGCAGTATTGACAGGGAGCTACCAACTGAAATGGACAAGATATTGCCCCCAAGACAAAGTGACTAATCATCCTTCACCTCTGATCTTCCCTGCCTCTAAAGTAAAACAACAAGATCACTATCTCATTTCTCATTAATTAACACGATCAATATTGGATTAGCTTGGTATTCTTGAAGCCTACCTATTTGTCTTCAACTGACAATATATTCCCATAGGGTTCTGGCAACACAAGGTTCCATATTTTGGTTCCAGAAAATCAAGGCAATAATCGGTTAGACAACTGGTGCCAATTTGATGCCGCTTGCAAGGTTTCTTGAGGCAATGAGCAGTATTGTTGGAAATTTGGCATTTAGTGGTGAACTTTTTATGCTGGGGAACTGTAGTTGAAAAAATCATGGTGGTTTACCAGTCTTTGGCACTGATTTTGACAGTGGTGCCAAGAAAAATGTCTGTGCAAGACAAATTAGCTTGAAAATTACCTGAACCTTATTCTTTAAAGGTAGTTTTAGCAAATGAGGGTTTGTCCATAACTTCCAAGACAGAATATTTGTGGAAAGCATTTGTGTCTAGATCGTTAAGCGCCAGGTTCTACGCTATTGGTTCAATATTGCTTCTTACATATTTCTCTGCTTGATATTTCTCATTACATATGACTGTCTACATGAATACAAGCGCATTGGATTGTATGGATACATATGTGTTGTTAAAGCTTCAGTAGACCGACAAAAGTCTTTAGAACTTACTTTAGTAGTTATACTCACAAAAATCTTCAAAAAATATCTTGGAATTTCAAAATTCATTGGAAATAGCACAAGCTTACTATCAATTCATTACAACATAAGTCTGCATGCATTATTACTATTTAAGTAAGTCTCCATAATGTCTACTTGCTGTCTGCAACAGTATAACCTTCTTCCATTTCTAATCAGATAATGATTAAACAGAACATATGAATTGTTTTTCAAATTGAAACCTGTGTAAAGCACATGTTTAAGCAGGAAACCGGTTTTCAATCTATATATGACGTTGGGTATTTCAACCACCCATCCATCTCATCATGATACAAATCCCATAGAACATACTGGAATTGAACATGGCCATTTTTTTTCTTGCAATGACCTTGATAATGGAAGTCCCTTGCCTACCAGTCCCTTGATAGTTAAGCCTTGTTAACTGCCAGGGAACGTTCGATGAGATGATGTATAGCAATAACAGTACATTGTCAAGTGTTGTATAGCTGTGGTGATTAGAAACTGCTTTCAAATGACCATACACTGCAAGCATCAACCTCTATGTCAAAAGCATGAGGTTCAACTGAATGTCACACACAAATCTGAAAGAGTCTTGGAAATATTGTAATACTGATAAAATAGATAACATAGCGTAATTAATTCCTGAATGATTCTTGCTACAATGATGCTCCTTCATGTATAGGAGGGCTAAACTGTGGGTGAGTTAGTGGAAGGTTGTTGGGTTTTGTGGATGAGTAGATATTTGGGTGAGTGAGTGATTAGATAATTGCTGGGTTTTGTGGATGAGTGGATATTTGGGTGAGTGAGTGATTAGATGGTTGTTGGGTTTTGTGGATGAGTAGATATTTGGGTGAGTCAGTGATTAGATGGTTGCTGGGTTTTGTGGATGTGTGGATATTTGGGTAAGTGAGTGATTAGATGGTTGCTGGGTTTTGTGGATGAGTGGATATTTGGGTAAGTGAGTGATTAGAGTGATTAGATGGTTGCTGGGTTTTGTGGATGAGTGGATATTTGGGTAAGTGAGTGATTACATGGTTGCTGGGTTTTGTGGATGAGTGGATATTTGGGTAAGTGAGTGATTAGATGGTCGCTGGGTTTTGTGGATGTGTGGATATTTGGGTAAGTGAGTGATTACATGGTTGCTGGGTTTTGTGGATGTGTGGATATTTGGGTGAGTGAGTGATTAGATGGTTGCTGGGTTTTGTGGATGAGTGGATATTTGGGTGAGTGAGTGATTAGATGGTTGTGAAGAATTTCCGAAGAGTGGGTTGCAGATCATAGGTTAGTTCTGGCTAAGCAATGGAACACATTTCTGCACCACAAAATCCAGCACCATGCACATCTGGACCATCTAGGACCATCTGGACCATCTAGGACCCTGTCTTCTAGTGTATGTTCATCTTCCAATAATACAAACTTCTCTGCCTTATATCAGTACCACAGCATAAAACTTCCTCTATGTGCTCGGTGCAGTAGGTTGCTATTGTATAGTAGCCTGATATAAAAGGAAAGCCCAATGGTCCAGGTTTCAGATGTTCACCACTCTGGTGACATCCAGGGCCCGTTCCACAAAGCGATCGTAGGGCTAAGATGATCGTAACTCCCATACTTTAACATAGACTTACGACTGTCATAGCACTACGATCGCTTTGAGGAACAGGGCCCTGGAATATGCTGACATGTTGACGCATAATTCAGTAAACCATGACTTACACAATCAGGTTTCAAGCTCAAGGGACAGAACTGACACCTGTCCACAGGACATGCAAGAGGTGAGGGGAATTGGTGTGTGCTGCTGTTAGTCTAAACTAATTCTGGTTTTATAGCACTTGTCCACTGAGGTACCATCCTGCAGCAGAATACGGACACCTTACTCAGACAGGTCTTTATATATTTGTTCAAAATCAAAACAATCGTAGGATTCCAGGTTAGAACAGGTCAGTAGCAACCAATGTCTTCACAAATGAATGGAGAAGTTCCTTGCTTGCTGACTTGGCTGATTGTGTGTCATAGTGACATTGTGGGAAGTGTTCATAATATCAATCACTAATTTTTCAGGACACAGTTGTTATTATTATAACAGGCCACCATCATATATCCAGAATGTTCTGAGCATGATCTGAATCAACAAACATACAATACCAATCGGCATTGATGAAAATGGTTGCAAGATATGTATTTGTAGATCTCTGATCTTATCAAGAGATAAAACTGTGAAGTTCTACAAAATACATATCCCCACCGTAACAATCCTGAAAAATGATGATGATGATGGTGGTGGTGATGATGATGATGATGATGATGATGATGATGATGATGATATGAATAATGATGATGAATGATGATTTATATAACACCTATTATCAAACACCTATCTCTTCAGTGGTGCTTGTAAGTATTTGTTCTAACTGAAAAGAAGTTCTAAGCTGACCTTGTTGGAATCAGCACCTTATTTTATTTGTTTGTTTTTTTTCCATTTCAAGTTTTGCCACCTAATACAACCCCTGAAATCAATATCTTGTTTCATCAACACAGATTTTAATCAATAACATACAAAATGTTCACACAGCTGTGTTCCGATTTGATGAAGTATTTGTTCATAGCAAAACCTGTGAATGCTCGAATTACCAGTGACCATGATGAATTTAAATGGAGTTGAGCAAATCAATAGATGTTATGCGTAAGATTTCAACATGTGTTATTTCACTTCATTATTTGATAAAAGGTGTTTAAATATGTCATATACATGGAGAGGTGAATGAGTGAGTGAGTGTGGATTAACCTACTTTCAGCCATACTCCTGCATTATCATGGCAGGGACACAAAGAATATTACTAAAACATTCTACCACATGGGGAATTGAACACAAGTCAAATGTAAAGTGAGCAAACACTGTTACCACTGGGCTACCACAGCTTTTACCATTACATATCTATTGTATGAAATACAATATTAATTAATTCTTTGTTGTTAATGCATTAACAGAAACAAAAACTAAAACTAATGATCATGTTTCACAGATCAATGAATATATTTTCCCCAGAAAATATTCTTAATGTCAAATCGTTTTCATCACCATTTTTCATAAATTCATCAGAATGCTTCATTTAAGATTAATTTGTTACAGAAATATTGTTGCAGTCTGTAAATAGAAGTTGTTTCAGGAGACTGGTGGTTGATATCAAGAATAATGGTCCTTGCCATAAAAAGGTCAAGGTCACACGGTGTACAACTCAAAAGAAGTTGGCGTAACAGATTAAGTACTATGATATATCAGAATCTGGTGTCCCTAACTTCTTTTGAGTAATATATATCATGGGTACAATGTGTGAAGCCCATTTCTGGTGTCCCCTGCCATGATATTGCTGGAATATTGCTGAAAGCAGCGTAAAACCCAACTCACTCACTCACTCATTTATCAGAATGTTAGCTCCACAATCTTCTTCATCACCAACCACATGGTCCAAACATCACTTTGAGTGAGTGAGTTAGTGAATTTTAACCTTTGATATCCAAACTGTAAATACTCAAACATTGATTCATTAACTGAAAAACTTAGAAGCAGACTTACCATAAGTCTATTCTTGGACTGAATAAAAGACGACGATGACCCATGACCTTGCTTGCTGGCCGGGACAGGTATCCTTGTCATCCTGGGTGGGGCAACAGTGCCAGTTGCCATGACGATAGATTATCCGTATCCAAATCCTAACCTAATCCACAAGCTCGAAAAAACTCTGGTACAAATCCAATCCTGAATCCATAATCCGAAAACATAATCTCTTTTCCCATAATTTGCTCCGAAATCACCGTCCTGTCTCACATCCTTGAAGCGTGGCTTGTATCCATTGATAAGTGATTCCAATAACTCTCTGGTCAAAAGAAGTGCTCCACTAGCCAATTAGCCACTAGCCAGTTCCCCTCCATATATAAATATATTATTGGTAACAACATCCTCATAATATGAAAGGATTGCCTAGCATAACAAATGTCAGTAGACACATCAATATGAAGAGATCCCTCGTCAGAGCCTGGAGTAAGGTTGACTGGACGCCATGCAGTTGTTTACCATTATAGAATATTCAACAACCCAACCACTTGCTTAATACTCAGTTCAGAAATAACTCCATAAGCGCCAAGGTGTAACCTGCTTGTTAATTCCTGCAAGTCTGTACCATGTGCTTACTCAATAAAACATTCATTTCATTTGTAGTGTACCATTCATTAACTTACAGACCATCTATTAAACACAGAGTACTTTTCCAATTACCAATGGTGCCAATTTCGGTGAGTCCAACATGTGTTTGTCTAACGGACAGCGTTGATTTGGAAATTGGCATTGCTGACTAGGTAATCCATGGCAAACAATCCAGGTCTGGTGGTGAAATATACTCTACAATCTCAATGAACAGATGGTGTAATACATTTGTTTGGGGCATAACCATCAAGGACTGGATCACATGAAACACGCGTGTGATAACATGTCACATCCATCGCAGATATTTCGTATCAGCATGCAGCAGGTCATATGTCACTTTGCTGATTCATTTCACTTGATTGAGACCGAGCAGTTTCATCAAATCAACTGTTGACATGTCAGCATTGTATAAAAGCTTTTAACAAATCCCATGAAATATTCTCCAAAATGACTACATAACAATCTAGAAAACATCACTGACATGAATATTTTATAATATCCCCTGAATGTATCCAACAGTTATGTATGCTAAGTCCTCATTTGCTCTTTAATCAATTATTTTACAAACACATTTAGTTTTTACATAAATATATCTCACTCTGCCATCCAAATATTGTGATACCTACGTTGATGTCCTTATGGTCCAGTTTGGTAAAACAGACAGCTGTTGCATAACACTGTCATTATCAACAATGATAGCTTTCCACCCAATAATCCACCATCCTTTAAACGAATCCTGAAGGCACACCCCTAAAATCCATCACTTGATCTTCTATTGTAAAAACCTGCTCCACTTGTCTTGATGGGTTATCTCTTCAGTACTATGCCGAAAGGTATATATTTCCAATCAATCTACACACAAGCCGAGTACACTGTTACACATGTTTGTATACTGATCCATTCCAGCATATCCTGGTCTCAGCACTGTCCCGACCTACTGACAGACGGCCCTCCGGTTGGAAGCAGACGTACACTTTCCAATCACTCGGAACAGGCTGCTACTACCTTACTCCACTACACATGTTTGTTTATTCAGCCATTCCTCTGCTGCCACCAAGTTGCAACCACTGCCTCTGCTTACAGCTGACAGGCAAATTGTCTTCTGAACACCTAGCAGACGGGCAGAGCAGGAGGTTTAGCTACGTCTGCTCAGCAGCAACAATTGACTGATGCAAGTAAGGGAGGATAGGACAGGCAGAATGGTAGCTCTACTTTAGTGTAACTAAGACTGCAATCTCACTATCTGCACACAAGTGGGTGTCATTTTGTTCACCTTGGCAACGCAGGAAAAAGTTTGTTTTTTTCGGCAGTGCGGATGTTCGTTAATGACAAACTCTGTTAATGTGTTGTGGATATTATGCTTCACAATTTTTATCCATTTTTCTTCCAATAATCAATATGAAAGTACTGTATATCAGTCTTTGACTGATCAAACTTAAATTCAGTACCAATGTGGGTGTCGGGTAGTTGGCACAAAAAAATACATTATGATCTGCTTTCATCAACTTCAGGATTATTCATCACATCCATAAAAATGAAATATCACCATGATACAGAATCAAAATTCATAAAATGATGCAAACAATTAACTGTTTATATGTACTTAAATAACACTACTATTAGACCTTATACAAACACATATACAAAATGTTGGCATGTTGTCCTATTAGCATGATCAATAGTTAATGTGTCATGCGTAAGTCACGGACATGGGGATGATACATTTGGCACGATTCCCCAAAATGCTAATCCATTGTTAATGTGATCGTCTGCTTACCTAAGTAATGGCATGGCAAGTGTTTATAATGTCTGGGAGTGTGCTCGCAATCGAGAAATGCGCAATGTTTTAAATGGAGTCATCGAGAATGGTCAAATTACTCCAGATGAGAATAGTGGGGTACAAATGTCTATCATTTCTCTAGAGATTGGCAGTAAGCTGGGAGAAAAGTGCTAGAATATCAATCTGCTTTCATTTCAGTGTGCATCTAGATACACTGAAGGGCTAGCATATATTCCATGAATGGTAAACGCCAGTCTAGTAAGCCTATTCCGTCTCCCTCCTCACAAGGCCTCTGTAGTAACGACAAATCTATAATTTTTCATTTGCGGTGGGAAAGCTGGAAGCTGATGTTGACCCCAGGCTTATCTGAGTTAGTGAAACAATACTTGTCATCCATTGTGTACATATCACATACAACAATGTAGCCAAGGTGTTCCTGCAACACACAGGAACTTGTGTAACACAATGACATAACATGTAAACTGATTTGAATGCTTATGTCATGGCGAGATAGGTTATGATAATTTACTGAAATATTTACATAATGTGGTGAATAAGTTTGTAGATTTGTCATTCATAACATCACATTCATATATCAAACCTTAGAATGTGTGAGTAAGTATGGTTTTACAAAGCTTTTAGCAATATTCCAGCAATATCATGACGGGGGACACCAGAAATGGGCTTCACACATTGTACCCATGTGTAATTGAACCTGGGTCTTCTGCGTGATGAGCAAACACTTTCACCACTAGGCTTCCCCACCGCCCTTCACACCTTAGATGATAAGTTAAGACAGTATACTCTTCAGATAGTTCTGTGCTTTTTCAGTACTATGAAGGAAACAACATTTAATTCATGAGCTGTGTATAAAGAAATGTTGGAACTATCTGAATAAGTCATTAATGAATAATCAATATCCTTCAAATGAGACATGTTAGTTTAAATTTGTAAAACTAAAGTGCATATATTTAATCATATATTAAATTGACTTCTTACATTCTGATGTCTGTAAGTTATAAAAGCAACATTTCGGTCTTTGAATATCAAAGTTAAATCAAAGTTTTAACTCTTTATTTACAAGTATTTTAATTACTAATATACGTCAGTTAGAATTGGAATGATGTGAAAGCATGTATGATTTATTAGTAGTAGTGGGTTTTATTAAGAAACAGAATTGCAAAGCAAACTGATAGATTGGCCATTTCTTCTCTCTAAATCAAAAACAGAGGTCCGACTAAAGTGCCTCAGTTGTGTAATGAAAAAGCAACAGTTTCAAATAACCTAACATTTCAGTTTTGTTATTTAAGCAATTTAATTATCTCTGGCATAAATAGAATCTGCAAGGCTACTCCCACAAATGTAATTTCACAGTACATCTGAGAATGAGCTCTCAACTCCAGTGTTGCATTTAAATTTAGCCACAGAGTCATGAAAATAAAGGTAGTCATTTTGACTCTTGTTACAAATGTCAGACTTGCGATTACAGAAACAACTGCACATATCAAGCTGCACACTTTCGTCCGCTGCAGCGAATTAGCTCTGCAACGTCGTTTATTTCTTTTTCTAGTTTGAAATGACAATTCTTGTCTATGTGATGCGAAACTGATTGCAGGCAACAGTCAACTGATGCTATAGTCTGTTTTGGAATTCATAACGGCTTGGTATGGTATTTCTGTTAATTCTGTTGGACTTTGTTTACCAGTGTTCTGTATAACAGTTATTTACACTGGACTTTGTCGCACGGTGCTCCCTATAACAGATAATTCTGTTGGACTTTGTTTACCAGTGTTCTGTATAACAGTTATTTACACTGGACTTTGTCGCACGGTGCTCCCTATAACAGATAATTCTGTTGGACTTTGTTTACCAGTGTTCTGTACAACAGCTAATTACACTGGACTTTGTCTGAAAGTGCTCTGTGTAACAGGTAATTCTGTTAAACTTTGTTTAATCATTGTACCCGTGAAGATCCGTCTTAGAATATTGTTCTTCAGTAACCCATGCTTGTCGTAAGAGGCGAAAAATGGGATTGGGTGATCAGGCTCGCAGACTTGGTTGACACATGTCATCGGTTCCCAATTGTGCAGATCGATGCTCCTGCTGTTGATCACTGGATTCTCTGGTCCAGACTCAATTATTTACAGACCACCGCCATATAGCTGGAATATTGGTGAGTGTGGCGTAAAACTAAACTCACTCACTCATTGATTAAGAATGTTGAAAGCATGGAGAAAGCTCAAGATGATATTCTAAGAATGTTGAAAGCATGGAGAAAGCTCAAGATGATATTCTAAGAATGTTGAAAGCATGGAGGAAGCTCAAGATGATATTCTAAGAATGTTGAAAGCATGGAGAAAGCTCAAGGTGATATTCTAAGAATGTACAACAGTATTTCCTGTGACAGAGTTCTAGACAGGCAACTGCAGTTGATAGAAGTAGACATGATCATATGGGATTATCATCACAGTTTTCATAACAAAATGTGGAAAATGTTCTGATTCAGCATTTTCCACTCTCAAGAATATGCTTGTTACAGAAAACCCCATCAGAAGCAGAACATCGGGGAGCCCATATACAACAGAACCTGCCGTCCAGGTTGGTCTTACCAAGACAGCACTTAAGGAACCATCATTCCTGATCCAATATTCCATATACTGTGAGAGCACACAATCCACTTAGCCCACAGCACGGAATCCAGGGCTGAATTTGTTAATTTGGTTGTAGGAGGTGCTTGCATGTTAAGCATTTACTTTGGAGATAACAGACTGATTATTAGTGTGTGTATGCCATGTAGGTTATAGGCTAAAGTGGCGGTAACCCCTGGCGATAGCAAACACAGACATGCAGCCACGTAATCACCACTACTGTAAATGATTTATACCATGGCTTTAAAAATTGACTGTCTCAATAAACCCTACTTTCCTTCAGAGACCATTTTACAGATCTTAAACTCCTTTCAGGGTCGAAGGTCATCTGACAATCTGACCTTAAAGGTCTAGGTCATTTTTATGAAGTCATTATAGGTAAGTGGGTGGTGAAGTGAAGCAGATATTATGGTTCTATTCCTGGAAATTTGAAACCCTTCCTAGGTGAACAGCACAATTGCTGACCACATTCAACTTGAAATCAAGTTATTACTGCCTTTAAAATCAATGAAATAATTGAACTCTAGTTGCCACAGACCGTCCATGATTATTTGATCATTGCTATTGTATAAAAATTCATTTGTCAAACTAAAAACATATACCCACTGTTTATTTTGCCTTATTTAATTCACCTGACTGAAAGTTAAGCAAGCTTTACAGTATGTCATGGCCTGTTTGTCTTTGCAGATTTGTTCCTGCAAAAGATGACTTCCAAATTTGTTTGAGAGGCTCTGAAATTCTCTCAATGGCATAGTAAACTGTAAATTTATATATCTGCAATTGTAAATTTCTTTTGCTTTGAGTATACTTCAACAGCCACACCGAGAGTGTATTGGATTCCTGATTGTGCGCTGGCAGAAAGGTACTTCACTCTGAGAGTATGGGTTTGACTCCTAGACGGGACTCAACCTAAAAAGTACTAGAATCTGTGTTTTACAGAGAAAGCATAACATGTGTCGTGTCCATTTTTTAAAAGGCATTTTGAAGAAGATGTATTTCTTTCAAATCGTTTTCTTTTAGAGTTAGTTTAAAGTCTTTCAGATTTATACAGAAAATATTTGAGTACCAATACCAAAAGCAACTTTTGTGAAAGGTGGGTATCTTTGTTAAAATTTCAAAACTGTCAACTACAATGTTTTGTTTGTTTGTTGTTTAACACTGCACCCAGCAATTGTCTAGCTATATGATGTCTGTCAGACAATCCAACAATTGACACCATGACATCAGTCTATGCAATTGTCTAGCTATATGATGTCTGTCAGACAATCCAACAATTGACACCATGACATCAGTCTATGCAATTGTCTAGCTATATGATGTCTGTCAGACAATCCAACAATTGACACCATGACATCAGTCTATGCAATTGTCTAGCTATATGATGTCTGTCACACAATCCAACAACTGACACCATGACATCAGTCTATGCAATTGGGTAAAGATGACAAGCATCAACCAAGCCAGAGAGCAGCAGGCGAGGCGAGGTGAGGTGAGGTGAGGTGTGAGGTGAAATTGGGATTAACGTCGTGCTGGAGAATATTTGCCTCATATGACGGCGTGCATGCGTGTGTGTGTGTGTGTAGTGGCTGCTTGTACTAGCCCAGACTTAAGCACCACTGAGATACCATGTCGCAGTGAAG